AATAGCCATTTAACCCCTGCCATTCGACTTCCCTTCACATTTCCACTATTGGAAAGGTGCCCACTTTTCTCCAATCATTCCTCTCCTTGAATTATTCCAAAGATTTCCAAGTATCATTAGAAACCAAATCACAGGGGCAAATTCAGCATGGTGGAAACTGATAATATGGCTCCATTGAAATATTTAAAACATATGTCTAAATTTATATAGGTACTAAAGAAAGAGAGCAACAAGTTACAAAACATGGCCTCTGCCAACAAGAGTCCAATAACAGTCAACAGAGTCTTCATGGCCCTTTCAGTTACAATGCTTTACATTCCCAACTACCTGAACTCCTTTGATGAACTTATGGATTGGTTTACAAGTAATTCACTTTATGGCAAAGATCCTGAGACCGTCAAAGTGTTAAGAGCCAGTCAATGAAAATGGCACACCTCAAAATTACAATTCCAATAAATAAATAAATTTGATTGACAAAATTGTCTGCACACTTGCTTTGTGATTTAATTTTAAATTTGAAAGAAACTATCTTAACCTGAGACAAAGGCTTGCTTGCTTGAAGGTAAATTTAGTTGGGAGCAGAGGTTAGGGATGGAGGAATGATACAGGGAATGAGGGGGTGACAATACAAGGATGGACCATTGCATTAGCCACCCAACGGATGAATGGTACTCATCCCATGGAACGTTATGAAGAGCCTTATGAACGCTCAGCACTGCCTACTCTAAAGGATGTAAGGGGGAAGCATTTATCCATAGATCCCCATTCGTCAAAGATGCTCTACACTTCTAGATCATGCATATGTGAGTTGAGAGACTGTTCCCATGGGTGTCCCAAATTTCAACATCAGAGAAGTTCTGGGGCAGGAGGCAAGAGGTGCATGGCAGGGTCCTGACAATGCCAGGTAGCATCCACCAGAATCTGGTAGAACTTCTTCCCCACCTAAGTAAGAGATGGGGCTGAAAACATTCAAAATGCACCCAAGAGGTGTCCAATATAGAACCATTATCAACAGTTTGATGTACATCTGCCCAGACACAAGTTTTTAAGAATACAATTAATTTATTTGCCCATAGATCTATTCCACAAACATTTATTGAGCATCAAGCACATGCCAGTCACCGTGTTAGACATGAGGGATAGAGCAGGGACAAGACTTATAAGTATCTTGCTCTCTTGGAGCTTTTGGTCTATTTAGGGGAATCAGACATTAAATAAATCATTTTAACATAATTACTGAATTATAATTGCGATAACTTATGGAGGAGCAGTGTAGGATGATAAACTTTCTAGTCATGAGAATCAAGGAAGGCTTCCCTAAGGAAGGGACATTTAAGGTAAAATGTGCAGAGAAGGGGTTGAAAAAAGCAAAGGGTGTAGGAGAGTAACGAGAAAGAGAGCAGGAAGAAGAGAGTAACTAGAAAGTGTAGTGCAGACATGAAGAAAACTATGAACAAATATCCTGTGGCAGAAAAACTTAAACTATTCTCAGGAAAGAGAGAAAGCCAGCGGGACTGGAGTGGGGAGTGAGGGGGAAATGTGGGAGCAAGTCAAGGCAGGAGAAGTGGACCGGAGCCAGATCATGTCTGACCTGATAGATCAGAAAAAGGATTTGGATTTTATCTAAGGTCAACTACTAAATCCTAAGGAAGCTACTGAAGGGTTTTGAACAGGGGAACAATATGATCAGATTTGCTTTTTTTTTTTTTAACATAAATCAAGATATACTTGTAAATACAAGCAGCAGAAGCTCGTAAATATTACCCAGGTATTTAAAAAGAGTACAGTCTGTAATCACTAGTAACAGTATAAATATAAACAGGAGTGTTGATGGGGTGGGAGCAGAGGTGGGGGGACCTGAGCCTGGAGTCTGGGAAGGCGTGCATAGTTCACCTTTTTGTTTGTTTTTGAGGACTAGATGTTCATCTGATTTGACGCCAAGGTAGCATTTGGGTAAGCCGGATGAAATCCCCACTTAAAACTCTCCGTCTTTTTCAGAAGCTTCAAAAGAAAATTTCTCCTCAAGTTTTCACCAAGACTAACCTATTATGTGGATGGTGTTGGGGACCACCTACAGGGTGTGATTTGAGAGGTGCTAAAAGCCACTCCTGTTCAGTGTAAACTTTCCCTGTCCTCCTCTAGTCCCTAAGGTTCCACCGTCGCAGGTCTATTCTGCTGAATCTTCAGTTGCCAAATATGCTAGCACAGAGCAGCCAACTGGACCTATCCTGCTTTCCTGGGACGGAGCTGGATTTTTTCTGCTTTCTTGGGGATGGGAGGGCTTGAAGCTTTGTGAGACCACTGGCCACGCAGGGGCATGGAGGAGCCATGAGATTGGTAGGTTAGAGAAAACGACAATCAAGGAGCTTGGGCTCCTTTGACTTCATCACTTTATTTTGGGTTGGCTTTGAGATCAACTGGTGTGTATAGTATGGACATATGTATAATTGTGTGTGGATTTATGCTGTAAAGATATATGGGTGCATTTATGGCAGATGCATGACTTTATAACATGGGAAGCAGTGATGGTAAGGAACACAAGCTCTGGGATTGGACCAACCTGGGTTCAGATCACAAGCTCTGTAACCCCAGGAAAGTTACAGCACCTACCTTATGGGGTGGTTGAGAGGATTCAATGAGATAATCTGTTTTAAGTCTAAGCACTGGTCCATGGCATACAGCAAATGCTCAATAATTGTTACTGTTACAATTGTGTATGTGTGTTTCCTTATGCACACGTGTGTGTGCATATGCATGTAGATGCCGAGGTGAGGTTGTAAGGGTATAGAGTGTGTTTAAGAAGAAGAGGGGGGCTGACCCTGTGGCCGAGTGGTTAAGTTTATGGGCTCTGCTTCAGTAGCCTGGGGTTTCGTTGGTTCGGATCCTGGGCGCAGACATGGCACCGCCCATCAGGCCATGCTGAGGAGGCATCCCACATAGCACAACCAGAGACACTCACAACTAGAATATCCAACTATGTACTGTGGGGTCTTTGGGGAGAAGAAGAAGAAGAAAGAAGATTGGCAACAGATGTTAGCTCAGGTGCCAATCTTTAAAAAAAAAAAAGAAAAGGAGAGGGAAGAAGGGAGAACGTTTCCCAGCCCCTGCAGTAGGAGTTCCAGCTCTGGGGCAGACCTTTCTAGAGGGTGAGGGGACTGCAGGGCAGCTCACAGAGGAGACAGCTCAGCTTTTGCCAAGTGGAAAACAGAGTAAGGACAGCAAATGGCCTCAAACCGCCAGGGGCTTCCTGATGAGCACGGAATCTAAAGTGGAAATTATTTGAAGGAGACGGGCCATAGAGTGGGATGTGATGTCATTGAAGCTCAAAAACCCTCCATAAAAGGGAGATTATAAAAAAAAAAAGAGAGAGAGAGAGAGTTGAAAATAGTGTTTGAAATTGACACATATCCAAATTAAGCCCCTGTGCTCAGAGGGCAGATGACTTTGTCTGCTCCTTACCAAATTTCTCCTGTGTTTTGAGTTTCACACATTTGATCTTTCAGAACTGAGATGGAAGAACTTTGAAAATCATGTAAACCACTACAACCCGTTCTCAGGCCTCTCGGCCCCCTCTGCAGATTTTCCCATGGAGCTGTATCTAGGTGCTTTCGGCATAGTAAAGAATTGCCTTCCTCATGGTGAGAGAGACGACACAGTAAAAAAGAACACCTGGTATCTAGTCCCAGTTCTGTCCCCACCTCACTGGGCAACTTCAAGGAATCTCTTGATCTCTCTGGGCACAGCTGCCTCATTTGCAAAAGAAATTGATGAGTCAACTTCGGCCATCACCTTTTGACTTTGTGCCATCCTAGGTGACGTTTAGCTCTCTTCAACCATCTCTTCTCCCCTTAAAGCTATATCATCATATGACATAGTAGTAAGTTCACAAACCACCTGCCTCTTGCTAACTGTGACTCTGGGGATGAGTTATTCAACCCCTCTGTGTCTCAGGTCCCTCCTCTGTAAAATAAGGGTAAAGAAGAGTGCTGTGTATCATTCGGTTGTAAAAAGGATTAAATGAGTTAACATAGGGAAAGTATTTAGGACTGTGCTTGGCACAAATAAGGGCTACTCTGGTGTTTGGTAATATTGTTATCATTACTGTTATTATTATTAACCTTATTATTAACTTCACATCTAAAGTATTATTGATAAATCAAGAAATAGAAGTATAAGCATTATTTTGGGCTATGAAAAGACTCCAGTGGGTAGGGGTTAGGCAAAGAGCTGGGACCATTGCTTTTCCTTTTTTTTTTTTTGAGGAAGATTAGCCCTGAGCTAACATCTGCTGCTAATTCTCTTCTTTTTTGCTGAGGAAGACTGGCCCTGAGCTAACATCCGTGTCCATTTTCCCCTACTTTATATGTGGGACGCCTGCCACAGCATGGCCTGATGAGCAGTGCCATGTCCGCAGCCAGGATCCGAACCGTCAAACCCCGGGCTGCCGAAGCGGAATGTGCGAACTTAACTGCTGCCACCGGGCCAGCCCCGCTTTTCCTTTTTTAAGAAAGCCCTTCTTTGCTTTGATCTGTCAAAGATAGGTATGTATTACTGACTCTATCTCTTTTTTTTTAATTTAAAGAGATTGAGCAAAGAAGAAAATCACCAAAGTCCCTCTCAAATTACTAAATTTAAGGATTGACTATGATTTTTAAGAAGCAGTATTTTTAGGTGGCCAGCTTATCTTTGTCATCGTAGCTGCCCTTAATCTGTTTGACCTTTTCAGGAAATCCTTATAAAGGTTTTGAATAACACAATCACCTTGGCATGTTTACAACTGAGTGTGTTTCAACTTCTTGGATAGGAGAGAAAACGACAAAGGTGAAAATCTAAACTTTGTTAATCTTGGCCTTAGGGGCTGGCTTATATTTTGTCCCTTATAATCTTTTCCCAGAAATCAACTCAGTTACATAAAGGAAGGATCAGTAGCCAAGCATGAACTCAGAGCAAAGCCTTGTGGCTGCCTGGCGGTGAAAGCGTTAACAGGGCTGGGTAAGGCGATCCCTGAAATGAGTAAGACTCAGAGTTGTTAAAGTTCTCAAAGCGCTGGCAGCGGCAGCTCTTGGGGAAAAGGAAGCGAGTTGGAGGGAGCCCGCCGAGCAGAGGATCAGCTGGGGTTACAAGCTCAAGGTTAGTGGCCCCCCGCACACCTCCCCCACGCTGACATCTTTGGAGAGCTATCTCAGGAAGGCAAGGCGCCATCTCTTGTCCTGGTGCGTCCTGTCTGCATTTCTTACTAGTGGGGCCACCCACCCTCCTGCCAAACCTCCTGGCTGCTGCGGTCACCCAAGGCTTGGCACTTGTGAAGGACAGAGGACCTCTTCCCAAGAGACTTTTCTAAACTGGAGACCTCTTTTCAGACATCCAAAAGGAAACTCTTCCTGGAACAAGGATCGTTTCCAGACTACACACACACACACACACACACACACACACACACACACACACCTGTATATGCTGCTCCATCTTGGTTTTTGCAGGCTGTGACCACAGTCCAGAATTCCTATCTCCTTCAGTTGAAACTGAGAACAATTGTCAAAGTAACTAAACAGGCTGCGCGGCTTTATCTTATGGGAGGAATATTGTCTCTGAGGCTAAAATAATCAGGGTGAAGAGGCAAAAAAAAAAAAAAAAAGGAAAGAGGGAGAGACATAGGGAAGGAAGGCTAGGAAGGAGGGAGAGAGGGAGGGAGGAAGGAGGGAAAGAAGGAAGGAAAAAAAAAAGAAAAAAACTTCCAAGTACCATGGCCTGCAGTTGAGGCAAACCAATTTTTGAAAACAGTTTCTAGTAGAAATTTTTCTTGGATGTTGCTAGAATAAAATGAGGGGGAAAGATATATTGTGAAGGAAATAATTCTACATCTGCATGAGAGTCAGATATACTTATCTATGTAAATAACTTGTCTAGATGAACTTAGGGAAAGAAGGAGGAGTAGACAGCTTCCCGGAAATTGCATTCTCAATTCTCAAATTGAGAATTGAGCCTGACGGTTGGGGGATGTAATTTACCCCTCTGAGCCCTGGCTGAGAGAGGAGTGGGTATGCCGCTTCAACAGGCCAGGCTTGGCTCCCTGCTCTTGCCTTCCACGCGGAGAGGCAATGAGTAAGTAGTCAGTCACTGTGCTGAAAGCTCCCTCAGATCCTCCAGCAGGCAGAAGTCGGTCTTTACCTGCTAGCACTGATTCAGAATGAGTCATTTGAAACTTGGGTGCTGGAACAAAGTCCTTGCAAACTGCCTTATGAGACACTGCCTTCATGTAGGTGGGGTATACCTCTCAGAGCAGTCACATTTTTTCCCCTCTCTTCGTTTCTCACTCATACAGGCAGGAATTCTGAGGCTCTCAAGAGACCGGCTCTGCCCCCTTGGCTCAGCTGACCCTACAATGCGGACTCTGCCTTTCCAGGTCAGGACTGGAGCTTTAAAATAAAATGGATGATTTGACGTTACTTGATCTTCTGGAGTGCCCCGTTTGCTTTGAGAAGCTCGATGTCACAGCCAAAGTCCTGCCTTGCCAGCACACCTTCTGCAAACCATGTCTACAGAGGATTTTCAAGGCCCACAAGGAGCTGCGGTGCCCCGAATGCAGGACCCTGGTGTTTTGCAGCATCGAGGCCCTGCCGGCCAACCTGCTGCTCGTGCGTCTTCTGGATGGTGTGCGCTCGGGGCAGAGCGCGGGGAGAGCCGGCTCCTTCCGCAGGCCCGGCGTGCTGACCTCGCAGGACAGCAGGAAAAGCAGGACTAGCCCCAGAGGGCTGCAGTCCAGCCCTTTCCGCCTGGTGCCTAATATCAGGATCCACATGGATGGGGTAAGAAAGATCTTATTTGTTCCTATCATGTCCACTTGGAGGTTGGATTTGGGTGTACCAGCAATTAGGAATTATTCTCTTTTAGTTTCATTTCAGAGTGCTGCCGATGATTCCCCAGAGATTATCTTCTGTGGGCAGTGATCCTTTTACCAAAACTTGGTGGAATCCTGAGCCTATCTAATCCATCTAGAAATTCTCCTTAAAATGGTGAAAGCTTTCTAGGTTCTCTCTGCTTCTTGTTCAGAAGGTAATAGCACAAGGAAAGCCTTCCTGATTATATTTTTGGTCTTTCACTTCTGCAGTCCTGAGGCCAAACCAGTGCATGGGAAATGCATAGAGGATGGGAAAAAGAGAAAATAAATCCAACTGCTTGTTGCTTTTGAGATCTCTGAGTAGTTTCCAAATGTCAGGTTTTGTTTGAATTTTGCCCAAATCCCTCTTGCCACCCCCTAGTCATAAAGTGCTATTGTGATGATGCTCATTCATAATCGGTTGAAAGCTATGAAGATACTTGACGCTGGAAGACCGAGCGGGAGGGAAGCGTGTGTGTGGATGGACTGACTGATAGGGAAGGCTGGGCTGTGAAGTACAACAGATGTGTACCAGAGCCCCGCAGATGTGCCTTACTTTACAAAATGAATGAAACACATAAAATGCACCTCAGCAGCTGCAAAAAAAAAAAAAAAAATGAACGGACCCACTGGAGCCGCACAGGCAATCACGTAACACCTCGGGTGTTTGGATAACGCGGTGCAGACTCATCCTGAGGACTTTACCTGACCTGGCTGTGAGCCTCCTTTTGGGAAGCTGTGTAAGGGTACGTCTGGAGAGAAGGACATGGTCCTTCTGAGTCTGGCAGGATTATTTGCACCGTCACCCCTGGAGTCAGTGTGCCAAAGTGGACACGCCAAGCTGTGGCCTGGGTCACTGGCATACTTAGAAAGTCAAAGCTGCATTCTGTCGTCTTACCGAAAGCAAGCTTCCCATGACTCCCTGCTGTGAAGTCACAGCGGGTGGGAGGGTCTTCCAAGATTCCTTCCCCACACAGGAGAATAGCCTTGTGTTGTGCGTTCAGAGCAACTTTCTAAAATATTCCTTCCAACAGCTAACCCGTTCGCTGCAGCTCCAAGGTGCCCATGCAGCAGGGGAGTATGGAAACGTTCAAAAATGAGAGCAGGAAGAAGTGTGACATTGGTGTGATTTCTTCACTGCAGACTATTGCCGTTGTGCTTGTGAATGTGAACACATTCCAGAAAAGAGCCTGGCTCCCTTCTTTAAGCCTGCCTATTAGCCCTAGGTCTAGTCATCAATCAGAATCCACAGGCCTGGAGAAGGCGGGTGGGGGAGGGCAGCAAACTTTTCTCAAACAAGCCATGTTTATAGAGAGTCGGGTCAGCAAATCTCCCTTTGAATTCCTAAGACCCAGCCACCTCTCCCCTCCCCCACCCTGCAGAGTCTGACTTGCCTCCCGGTGCAGTATCGTCACTCACTAAGGCAGTGTCGCCAGACTGGGGGCACCAAGTCCCTTATTGCCTTGAATATTTTTGTTCATGTTTTCATCTTTTTTCTATAGGGCTATGTAGCTGAGAATAGGTAGCAACAAATAGATCCACAGTTAAATTTTTGAACCGTAGAGGATTCCCAGGCCCCTCCTGGCATAGGGAGTTGTGGAGATGAGAGCTGGTCATACGTAAGAGACAGCCATTAAGATACTCCGTGTCCCTGGAACTCTTTCACAGGGACTTGTAACATCAGACCAAGGTGCCAGTGATGGGGTTGTGCCCTTCCTCCAAGCCACGCCTGACCAAATCCTGTCGTGAGGCTGACACACAGAACAAGGTCATTGAGAGCTCCTGCTTTCAGGCAGAACCTGTTTTAATAAAGATGCTCTGCAAGACAGCAGAGCTGGCAGCCATCCCCCAACCGCCCCTGTTTCCTTCATTTCCTGAGCTCACTTTTCTTGAAGTGTCTCATCTCATCCCTTTCGCTTCTCTCAGTGGGGAGTGAACAAACCCGTTCCCAGATGTAAATATGGCTGTCATTCTGCATCCTGTTTTATTCCCCAAAATATAGCTATCTTTCCTGTAAGTGTGAAAGCAATCATGCATCCCTCCATTCAGAGAATTGAAGATTGTCTGGGATGCCACACCGTTCTGAGAGTCAGAGGAGTGGACTTGCATCCTCTGTCGAATCCTCACCAAGTTACTTGCTGTCTCCGCCTCAGTTTACCCAGTTTAGTCAACAGTTAATAATACTTGCTCCCCACCTTCCCCAGGATGGTGTGAACACTATCTTTGCAGTGTACTCATATTGCCTTCGAAAGCATATGCCATGGAAATGCAAATCATTGTCATTATCATTAATTTAAACTTGCTGTATGACTTTGGGCAAGCCACTTAAGTTTGCTGGGTCTCAATTTAAAATTCTGTAAAATGGGAAAATGTATTGTAAAAATGGATAGCCATCGGTGAGTCTTAACTAATTAGTGTTTGCAAAGCACTTTGAGATCCTTAGATGAAAGGCATTTGGAAGATCATTATCAGAGTAAACATTATTATTGACTGTGTATTGTGCCCTGCTGTGCATGAGGCATTCTACAAAATACAAAAGGAGTGATAGCCCTTGCAGGAGAATGCAATAGGTATTATTATTATTGAACTTGATCCTATGATGAATCCAGACCAGGATGATACTAAGTATGAAGTACTTTCCTAAGAGGGCAAAAATAACCTGTTGTTGCAGGGTACCATTTTGTAAAACATCTCTTACAGAGGACTCAATGTTAACGTGGCCCTCTGAAAGAGTTCATTTAGCTTTCTGTCCGTGAGCTCTTTAAGCCCAAAATCTGTTCTGCTCACCAAGGCTCATCTAAAAAACAAGCTCATCAAGATCTTTTTGTTGGCTCGAAAAAGCCTGGTACTTCTTGTGCCAGCCAGCATGCTAGGGTGGAACCAAGAGTCACACTTCATGGTGCCAGCACAAGAGAGAAAAAATAGTCCATTGTGCCTACCTGTCTAAAACCCTCCCAAGTTGATTGTGTAAAAAGAAAACTTGAGAAATGGCTGTAGGTTTCCACAGCATGCAATTATTTCAAGGCAACAAGTGAGGTCAACAGACTCCCAGAAGGCCCCTGGCAGTCGGAATCCCACTGGTTCTGAGGCCAAAGGAACTTTGCAAGTCTAGGTGAAGATTATGGGCTCCAAAATAGCTGATCTCTCTTCCTCCTCACTCTGTTACCCTTTAAGAACATTTCTGAATTAGGATAGGCAGTAAAGCAACAAAGCTAAGAATTCGCGAACTTAGGTTTGAAAAATACAAGAATTCAAATCCTGCCTCTGCTGCTTAATAATTGTATACTTTGGATAAGTCACTTAAGCCTCAGGACCCCTACTTCCCCATGTGTAAATTGGAGATAATAGTAGTACCTACCTCAGAGGGCTGTTGTGAGAAACAAATGAGAGGATTCATGTCATTTATCTCTTAGCACATTGACGGGCTAATATTAAGTGCTCAATAAATATTAGCTGTTATTGTTATTGAAGTGAGTCAACACTTTCCACTCTAAATTACACACCCTCTTTTACCCCCTTGTTAATCGAGTGTCAGCTAGAGATGGTCCTTGGTACCCTGATTTCTGGCTCACTTTGTTTGTCTCCAGATGCTCCATGGCCATGATTGAGAAGTGTGTCTTCCCAGCATGTGTTGGTTTGGCAGCTCACTTTCAAGACCCCTTAGGAGCTAGGAGTTGATTCTAGGAGAAAACTCACTAGCCAACTTCACTTCCCCAAATAGCAAGCTCAAAGGAAAACCACAGGCAGGGCAAGAAGCTGGCCCACTTTGCCAGCATCATCAGTTCTTCATTAACCTTTCTATCTTACCTTCCCTCTGCCTCTCACTATCCCCACCACAAATGTTGCAGCCCTGGATCTTGCAGGGCTGAACTTTCTCCTCCTTTGTTATGCATCATGCCAAGCACCACACACATTCCTGTCTTACTTGTCGCATCTCAGCAAGAACACACCTGCCACTTCCAGCACATAGACCAGGTGGCTGTGTCCTAGAAACTTTTTCAGTTAGTGTTGCAAAGCAACCGAGGGGGGCAAATGAGGTCAGAAAGCACATGAGGGAATTGGGGCCGGGTAGAAACGATAAGGCATCCAGCTCCTTTCCTGGGTCTCAGCTGCTGTGTCCTGCAGCAGAGCTGTGACACAGGCAATGGTTTCTGCTAAATCTGCAAGGGAACTGAAACCATTCCAAGCCTCTGAAAACTGCAGGCTGGTGCCACCTGGGTCAGCGAGGGCCACATGAGGCAGGTGGAGGAAAACACAAAAGTAGGAGCTGAGACTGAGAAGTCAGGAGACCCAGGTGGTTCTCCAGCTTCACACCCATTTGTCAACCCTTTTAAAAACCACATGGCCCCCAAATTGGCCCTGCCCCCAACCTCTTACGATGTACCTCCTTCCTAGTTACAGTGCCCTCCCTTTTATTGCTGGCTACAGTGTTCAAGCGTTGTGGTCACAAGGAGCTGGGTTTGTGCTGGGATTCAATTATTTGGTAGCTGTGAGGCCTTAGGCAAGTCACTTAATCTCCCTGACTCTCAATTTCCGTATTTGGATAATGGAGATAATAGTGATAATCCGTATATCATAAGGCTATTGTAAGATTAAAATGAGATAGTGTATGTAGAAGCTTAGTACAAGTACCTGGTTCATAATAGATGTTAATAAATGTTAGCAACAGTCAATAACAAAACAATAATAGAGGAGAAAGTCAGCTGCATTGGATTTGACATTCTTTGCACCTACACATAAACATGCAGAGAACTCCATTAAAAAATTAAGCAAAGGGAATAGCAAAAGGAAAGAGATTTCTCAGAAAGACAAAACTACAGTGATGGAAATAGTGATTTTCAGTGGTTGCCAGGGGCTATGGGTTGGGAGAGGATGTGACTAAAAGGGAATACCATGAGGGAGTTTTACGGGGTGATGGAACTGTTCCGT